CAGTAATGATGCATTTTAAGTTCAAGGAAAGCAAAACAAATACAGTTCATTTTGCAAATGTTGTTTTTTGATGTTGGAAAGCAGTGAGACCAATTAACATCTGATCCCCTGCTAATATCAGAGATGGCAATTACTAACCTAAGAACTTGACAATGACTGAAAACAGCCTGTTCCTACAGCCATAAGCTTGACACTGTATACCCTTAGTGCTGTTATAATTACAGCAAATGTCAATTTAGAATAAACAAGTAAATGTAGAACATGTAAAAATTAAATTTGCCAAGACAGTTTATTCATGTAGAGGTGATACGGAATATCTCTAAGAGGTGAAAAATAGGATCTGAGTGAACTACTTTTAAATGCACACCAAGAACCTCTTTGTGTTGTTGTACTTCTTAATTAGATGAAAATAAATGAATTGAAAAGATGAAAGGAACTCATGTAACATCTCACTTCAAAGGGCAACTCTACTCTTGAGAAATGTTAAAAAAAAAAAAAAAGAAAAGCAGCTTATTCAAGAAATATGCTTTCTCTGTGGATTTGATTTCATTTTTACCTGCTTTAGACACTCAGAAATGACTTCTGCTTATTTGACCTAAATGGAGTCATTACCCCACTGTAAAGGAGAGTGGAAGCTGGCTGGCACTGATGGTCCCCCCTGCCATGCTCCTTCATTGCACTTTGCACTGGCTCAGTAACGCTCTCAAGTGAGTGGGATTATTTTTGACCTTGTGATGTGATTTTTATCAGTTTCAAAGCTCCAGGCTATATTCTGGTTAGAAATTGCACATGTACAAATGTTCCTTAGCTGCCTCCCCAAATGAGAATGAGAAGATTAACCACCTCAAGTGTATGTGTACCAATGCATGCAGCCTGGGGAACAAACAGAAGGAACTGGAGCTCCATGCCCAGACAGAAAGTTAAGATATCAAAAGATAACTGAAACTTGGTGAGACAGCTCACATGACTGGAGGATCATGATGGATGGCTACAGGCTGTTCTGTAAAGAAGACAGGGAAGAATTCTCTTATGACTCAAAGGAAATATTGCTGCTTCTAGAAGCAGAGATCTTGTGTGACTTGAAAAAGAAGAGCAGCTCATCAGCTTCATAACTCCTTGATAGATTTAGGCAGGCTGCTCTGTTTTTTCTTATGCCATGAGCTGTCAGATAGCAGGTTGACGTGAAATGGTATCAGCTTCTCGCAAACACAATCAGCTAAGCAACTGAGCTCATCCCAGATGTGATTAAGTAGGATCAATTATAAAAGGAACTAGCTAAGAGAGGTAAGCTTGTTTCTTGGGTTGGTATTCTGGCAGTATTAGCCTTTGTAAGTATACTTCATACATAATCAGATGCCAAACCATTATTGCTTCAGGAAATGGCTTCTAGACCAGCATTCAAATGAACTTCATCCTAAATTGATTATTCTAACACTGAAACTGACATCAAGTGGGGAAAAAATTTATTTGAAGCATCAATTGCATCTAACAGAAAAGTAGCCGTTGAAGTCAATTTTTTTGCAATGCAAGTAGCGTGTTTCCTCTCAAACAGAGTTAAACATTCTGTGAGAGAGCTCTTTGTGTCCCAAGAGATTAATAGCTACCCTTCATGGCATTATAAGTTTTGCCATGGTACTAAGTAAAATTGCTATAGCACGTAATGCTTAATTTGCTAAATATCAGAATTTACATATTTTTCCTGTAAAATTTACATGAAATTGCACACCAGGTGTTCAGTAAATCTGAAGAATATATGTGAGAATCAAGTCCACTAGTGTCATGGTTTAAGCCCAGGCGGCAATCCAGAACCGCGCAGCCCCTCGCTCACTCTCCCCCCTTCCTCCCCTCGCTACCGGAGGGATGGGGAGGAGAATGGAAAGAATGTAGCTCCCACCGGCTAATGTAAGAACAGTCCAGTAACTAAGGTATAACACAAACCACTGCTGCTGCCACCAATGATAATGATGATAAGGGAAATAACAAGGAAAGAGAATACAACTGCTCACCACCCACCGACCGATACCTAGCCCAACCCGAGCAGTGATCTAGCCCTTCCAGGTAACTGCCCCCAGTTTATATAGTGGGCATGACGTGCTGTGGTATGGAATACCTCTGGCTAGTTTGGGTCAGGTGTCCTGTCTCTGCTTCCTCCTGGCTTCCCCTCCTCCCTGGCAGAGCATGAGACTCACAAAGTCCTTGGTCAGACTAAACATTACTGAGCAGTAACTAAAATCATCGGTGTTATCAGTGCTGTTCCCAGGCTGAAAGTCAAAACCACAGCACTGCAACAGCTACTAAGAAGGAGAAAAATGACTGCTACTGCTGAACCCAAGACAACTGGAAATAGCATAAATACACGTATTATAGGTGTAACTAAATAGTAATGCTTTCTTTACCAGATATAGAAAGTTGGTAATGTAGAAATAGAGGAAGTCACATGAACATACAAAATCAAAGAGAGGAATGTTGCAAAATAGTCCATATCTAAACTGTAAAATGAGAGAATCGCCAGTATCTTTGAGCAAATATTTTTGTCATTACTTTCAATTCTTTCATGGCTTCTAGTTTTTGCAATGGAGCTCCCAGCAGAAAATTTTTTTGTGATACAGAAAGAATAAATAACAGGTGTCTGAGAATGCAATGCAGGATGTGGCATACACTGGCACAACAATTGTGCTGTTCTGAAGCATAATGATTAACCAAAACCCCACAACTGTGTTTGCTTTCTTTTTTTCTGAATGGAAAGAGATTCCTAAGCTCTGGACTATTTCCATAAAAATCTTTACGATCTTACAACAGTAAGATGCATCTATTCTATTGCTTAGCAATTGATGTACTGCAGTTGTCTGCTTAGTTAATAATCACATCTAATCAACAGAAATCAAATTTTCATTTCTGTTTTAATATAGGTAAGTTTCAGAGGCCTTTGAATATCTAGGCTGGCACCTGTTTTACCCTTTCAAGTGCTTTTCTATTTTGATACTGATAAGGTTGTTGAGGGTTGTGCAGTCTTCTTGATAGGCCCAGTGCCAATATCTCTGCTCTGGTGTTTAGTTGTCATTGTTTTATTTGCTTAGCTCGCCATTGCCAGTAATGGAGCAGGGCAGGTCAATTCACCCTCACAGATCCTTTCTGTAATCTCCCCTTGGCAGCTGTGTGGGACCAAAATTTTTTCAGACAGTGCACATTTTTAATATTTTTCTTGCATTTAGTTCCAAAACCACTGTTAGCCTCTACTTTATCTCTTCTTCCTCCTTCTCCCCCAGTTTTTCTGGCTGTTAAAGTATTGCTTCCCTCAGATACTGGTCCACAGGTCACTTTGAAAATACTCCTGGTGTAAGGTGTCTTTCAAATCACAAGTGGACATTCTAAATTTCATTATTGGCAATCAGTGATGTTTCTTCCCTAAAGCTCAGAAGCAATTAATTAATTAATTATTACTAGGCAAGATGCAGAAATTCCTGAGAAGGATTCTGTGGCCTATGTTGTATAGAGATACCTGAACATGAGTGTCCTTTTTTGGGCTATTCATCCTTGTAGTAGTCCACCACTTCTCACTTATCACCTAGTTTATAATTATTTGCTGCCTTTATCTCTCTTCTTTCATCCCAGCTGAACATATTACCAATATATATACACAATACTCTTGCATTATTCTTTTGTGTGGATCTTTACTAAATATTTTTGCAAGCTTATGTCCTTCACCTGACAGTATCACTTGCAGTGTTTAAATTGTTTGATAGCTATAGAAAAATGAAAGAGAAGATAAGTAAGAAAAATCACCGCAGAAGTGAGACCTATTATAAAATTCTATTGAGGTTTATTTTATTAAACACAAAGCATTTGAAGTCTGACATTTTTAACCTTTGGGCCTTTTTACAATGCATACTTAATTGTGGCACCAATAGCTTTTTACATACATTATGAAAAATTATGCATCCAGGAAAAAAAAAAAAGTAATCCCTTATTTTCTTCTCTGTGTGCATGTAAAGTATTTTTGCCCAAGAGCGCCTCTTTTATGCTCAATGCTGTCCACTGATTTTTCAATGTAAACATCATCAGACCTTTCTGAGAAAGACCCAAGGAACACCACGTCCCTGGGAAGTCTCATTCTCATGGTCAGAGTTTCATTTTAAACTTTAACCATGAGATCTTGGGCTGTTGCTCCTGGGTTCAGCCTGTGCACTTTTGACTTTATCATTTGTCAGCATTATTCTGCATTCCCCTTTGTGGTGAAGCAAGCTGAACACCTTAAAACCTCTTGTGCATTGCAGTGCACATAAAGCCTAAGTAAGTGTCCCTTCTACCCCCTTGAAATTCTCTTGGGCACCACTTCCTGCATACATTTCATCCTTGAAGCTGCACTTTCTCCTTCTGAACTGAGGGAATGGCTGCAGTAGCTCATCAAATCCACCATTTTCATTACCATTTGGTGTTTCCTTTAAAAGATATTAGTAGGGGTGCAACTTTTCTCCCACTTTGTACAGTGCTCTTGTTATAGGTCAGTTATTTTTGATTTCGGGAAGGAGCACATGCAAGGAGATTTGTTGGTGATCATTCTCTTTGCTCCAAGTAAGGAAGGTTTCTCTTGCCTTCTAACTCAACTGTAGTAGATGTAATCACTTTGGAGTTGGGGGACAAGCACAATGTCTTCGCTTGTCTCCTCAGGTATTCCCGATATTGTCAGAAGGACCTTGTGACATTAGCTCATAAGACATAAATGTTACCCATTACTTTAAAAATCTAAAACCCACAAGTAGCCCATGCAAGGGAGAATATAACTTTCTACATGCAAGCAACTGTTCATGTGAACCTCTATAGCTTTGAAGAATATATATTTGCTTCACAGGACACTACAAGACTGGAAGATGAATCCCTGAAGGAAGAGCTCCCACTTTGCTAGTTAAATTTGTTGAATACAAAATAACACTCAAAATAGATTTAAAGTCTGTACTGTGTCTGCGTGATTGTTTACTGTGCTCATTTATTCCATTCTTTAGGTTTGAAGATGGCACAGTCTCTTTTCTTGATATCATTGCTCTGAAACATGGATTTGATGTTCTGGAAAAACTCACAGGTCAGTTAACACAACTTAATACTGAGGAGTGAAGTTCTAGATTTATACTCAGGGCACAAGACTGATCATATTTTCTATGGCTGTAGCTTTATTTTCCTTTCTAGATTTACTTTCTATGTTCAACAGTGTGAAGATTAGACCTCAGTGTAATTGTTTTACTCGGGTCTTATGTATTGGATTATTCCAGCTTAGTTTGGAAGAAAAAAAAAAAAAATTATACAGACTTTTCTCCACAAATGTACACACAAGACTTGAGTATATTGAACACATCTATTCTGCCTCACCCTCACAAAGATGCAATAGCAAAGTAACAGTAGAAAGTAGCTGAGTGGCTTCCACTGTTTGAGTATCTTTGAAGCCATTAACATGGAGCAGTTTGTTTACCTTTCAAAACATTTAGCCCTTCAGTTTACATTGGTATTTAATATACCAGTGCCTGGCATGACCGATGTGACAAGAGATTCAGTGCTTTGTAACTGCCATTTTCTCTTGCCATCCTTTTCTCCCCTTCACACCATTGAGTACAATGGAGGTTTACAGGTTGTTTAATTTCTGTCAAAGGTCCTCTGTTCTTTTTGAACAGAGATTATTGGCAATTATGTGTATGCAACAAAGCTGTTGCATGTTGTAGAAACACTTCATAATCCAGAAGGACTGCAGATTTGGTTTAAGCCACTTTATGCATATGTCTCCCACTGTTAGTTTTCAGTGGCAAAATGCTCTGTCAGAGGTGAACCACTCCCGAATCTCACTTTGCCGTAGGTCCTGGAGTACTTGTTTGCACTCCCCCAACACAAATAATGATTCTTATTCTAGGTTGGAAACAGCCTGGAGTGGAAACAAACAAAATAAACAAACTATTGTTGTTATTAATTGTATCTTTCTGTGTAATAAAAGCACTGCTGAAGTTCTTTTGGGATACACTGTAGTGGGGTTCTACCACTACCACAAGGTGGGGAGGGAGACCTCTAATGGAGGGTGAATCAGAAATTCAGTGTTAGGCAGTTTTGTGAAGAAGAGAGATCTGTTTCTGAGTCTGATATCATCTGACTAAATTCCTGACCTGTCTCAACTTTCAGTAAACAACAATACATATTTCATGACAGAGTTACATCATGATATGTTTGTGTATTTAAGCCATTTTCAGGGGTCTTGCATCTATGTGATTTTTAAACTTAATCTTAGTGGTATGTATTTTTCTTAGTAAATTTTCATCAGTTTTACAAAAGGTAAATTTGCAATAATGTTACAGGGATTACTTTAATTATAGTGGCTGTTCAGAAAGCATTCATTCACTTTACAAGAAAATATGATATGTATTGGAAAAAAGTTTAAAATGCAGACTAGGTCTCCTAAAGATGATGAATTGAAAGTTGTTTTTAAATTCACTGGATACTTGGTTAGTTGATAGAGAGTAAAGGTTGCATTAGCTTTCATAAAGGTGATTGTGTCGTATAACAGCCAAAGCATCCCAAAGTGTGGGATGCTAAATGGTGAGGCTAACTTTGATTTTTAACTTGGTCTTTGGGACTTCTGGCTTCTGTTTTGCCCTATAATAATTTTTACCATCCTCCGGTACATTAAGGACTAGTTGCAGCCAGTGATGAGATGTGGGGCAGCCTGTATTTAGTGGTATTGCGCAGATTCTCATGCGTGCTGTGTTTAAACTCTTAGGGTTATACAAGTCATCCAGTTTAGGGACAGAAAAGAATTTCCTCCTCAGTCAGATTGGCAGGGATTACTGGGATTTCTTCTCCTGTGTGGAGTTTGTGATTTCATTCTGCCATTGTCTGGGCATGTCACCTAAACTTGGATCGTGTGTGTGATGTTTGTGAATTTTACTGCTTTCATCCTTGGTGCTTCTTTCATTTATAATTTTAATGGATTTGTGTTTTTCTTTTAAAAATCATAAGATTAAAGGTGACATTAATAGATGTGTTCTGGCTTGTGATATATAGGTGTGTTGGAAGTAAATGCTCCATTTTGTCCGACATCTATGATATTCTTCATTTGGGGGGAAATTCTTCCCTTGATTTAAAAGAGATAATGAATCATTGATGAAAATTTTACTTTCTTAATGCCAGCTGTTTGCCACAAGATGAGCATTAGCATAGAAGAAAGCTGGGCAATGTATACTAATATCCTCACCTAACTGCTCATAATTAGCACCTTCTCTAAATGTACTTGCAGGAGAGTTATGGGTTGTTGTTTTGGGTTTTATTCCTCAGAAAAAGGTTTAATGAGTTAACTAGGGAGAAGATAGATGCGGCATCCACACTCTCAACAGGAAAATATGGATACACTAAAGAGAAGGCATTGTAAATTCTCATCAGAAAGAAGAGGTTGATTTCTAAATGCAAAGGCAGTATGTAAGAGCTTAAAATCCAAAATTATTCTGATGCCCAGATAATGACATTATTGGTATGTCAAAACCCCAAAATCTCACCTCTCCTTTCACGGATAGTGAGGTGACTGATTCTGTTTCTAAATTTCTGTCTCAAGATGAACTTGGCTTAGAGAGTAAACTAGAAAGAAAGTTATTTGTTTGCTGCTAGCAGCTCTTGCTGCGAGCATGTTACGTCAGTCCAGGTTTTCGTCTTTCTTTTGTGGCTTGACTAATGTGAACTAGGCATCATTTGTACCTTGAAAGCAGAGAAGAACAGCAAGAGCATGACTTGAGAAGCTTTGAAAAAGTGAGTTGCCAGAAGAAATTCTCTTTATAAGTTTGGGGTTTTTTTTTTAGTATGCATTTGCTAACGTTGATGTGGTTTGTATTCCCAAACTGCCTAATCTGTGAAGAGGCCTCGAAAAGGACCAAAAATATTAGTCATTCCTCAGACCTGTGGAGATAACACAGAAAAAGTAGTACTGCAGATAAATGTCTTGGAAGTTTTTGCATAATACAGCTAGAGAGAAAAATATGCTTCTTGGGATCTAAGAGAAGGGGGAAATGCCTTTATTAAAACCTGAGCTGATGAAGAAAAAGTGCAGCACTGTTGACAAGAAAATATACTCTTGGCAAGAGATAATTGTTCTGTGTTGAAACAAAATAACAAGACTTCTACAGTGAAGGCATTTGATGGCATCCAGTGTTATTACAGGGGAGAAATTTGTAGCAAACTCCTTTCATGCTTGGGAGATTTCTGGAAAGAGCAGCCTGGGGCAGCTAATAACTGGGGAATCCCCACAGGTGCTGTTGCATATAGCTTGCCAAGGCAAGAAATGGCAGGGAGCGTCAGTGACCAACACTGACAGGCTTTTCACTCATCCAGTGATAACTGAGCTCTTGAGGTCTCTGCAGCTATTGAGAACTTCTGCATTGGCAGGGCTGTGTACATTGCAGATCCCAAATATTACAGACTGCAAGGAGAAACCTGAGACAATTCTGCTTTGAGGTGCCTTATGTGTTTCCACATGAAAAGATGATGGAGTCACTGATCTAATTTTTCTGAACAAGGAAGGCTTAATCTCACCCTGTTGGCAGCAGGAGAGTATCTTTTATGCCAGTTAGTGTGGCCTGTGCATGCCTTTCCCCTTCCATCCTTCTTAAATAGCAAGAACAGCATTTGCATGGGGAATCTGACATCTGCTGAACATGTTAGTGTTCTCAGTTATATTGTGTTGTGGGTCACAGTGTTGACTTTACTAAAGCCAGCGGAAATGCTGAAGAGCCATTGAATTTAAAAGAACAATTGTTCTGGATCCTGAAAAGTGGCAAGCTGCACTCCTACACTTCTCATTCCCAAATACAGACTTCAAGACAGGAATAGGGTCATTAGCTTCACATTCTTGTCTGTTTTCTGTCTCTGCTAATCCTTTTTTTCCCAGTGCGTATTGGTAACATAAGGATGTGGATGTCCCCATTGAGCTGGGCTTAGCTATAAATCAAACTCTGCTGTTAATAAGCTGGTAAGAGTACAGTTTTCTCACGTTGTTTGTTGTTCAGGTTCTTTGAGGTAGTGGGTGGTGATCTAACAAATATGAAAAAATCCTGGCCAGCTCTCTCCCTATTACAGAAATCAGGAGAGGTATACAGTAGCACTCAACCAGGAAAGCAAGATGGAAGAACATTTAGTAAACTTCAGTGATTAATCTATTTCTATATCTACCCTATTTATTTAGTTCAAAATAAATCATTATGTTCCTAACCAAGGAGATTGTCTTTTTTTTACAGTAGTACAGCAGATGACTAAGCAATCAGCATATGGTTTTTTTATTACTTTGTATATGAATGCTAATTATCCCTGACTTGAACTGTGAATCCTCATTCCTATTCAGATCATCCACTGAACAAGGTTTTACTAATGTGAACAGTCTGAATTTCTTACGATTCTGTGTACCTTACTGAACATGGGATAATATAAGAAATATATCATTTCTGCCTTACATCAGACAGTTTCCGAAAACTAAGCCCTGACCGACAGGTGAATTAGAACCTCTACAGAGTAATTACTTGCACTTGCTCGCTTTAATGTTTGCAACAAGAAATTGCGTTTCACTGCGAGGACTGTGTCTGCACTCTTATGAATGCTTCTACAAAAAGAAAGCTAATGTAACGGTCAGGGAGCTAGATGAGGACTTGGGAGACTTGAGTTTCTTTCCTCAGCCACAAAATTTACTTTACTTTTAGTAAATTGCATAGATGCTCATCTTCAGGGGAGCAGGGAGTTAGATGACTAAATGTATTTCCAGACCTACATTTTACCTCTGGGTGGGATTTACCTTATGTTGCTGTCAGCGCCTACACCTAAGTGACCATTCAGATTCCCACTGCAGTCAGTGGAACAGACAGTACTTCACCAGCTTGATCCCTGTGACATTTTCTGGAAATTCAGGACAGGAGGAATTACAGTCAGCAATACCAGTTCTTCTCATTGTCCATTAAAGGAGCTTAAATGATTAGCTTAGTGTGGTATAGGACTTTTAAATAACTTTCCTGCTAATGATCCCTTTGGGAATAGAAAGCTGAACTGTCAGATTAGTTGAGGTGGAAATGATAT